ACAGGAAGCCAGGGTGGAAAGGGCTCACAGTAAAGCAATAGCTGGAGTACCAGGGCAAGGGAGGTGGTGGCTGGCAGACCAGGCAAGGCAGGTGCTGGTGGAGTGTGCAGTTTCACATTAGTGTGTGGATAAACTAGGAAGAACAACTGGAGAGCAAGACAGACTGCACAACCCAGGGTTCCAGTGCAGGGAAATAAAGCCTCAAAACCTCTGACTTAAAAAACCTGTGGGGGTTGTGGTGGTAGGAGAAACTCCAGGCTCACAGGAAAGTACACTAGAGAGACCCACCAGGTCCTAGAATGTACACAAAACCACTACCTGGGAATCACCACCACAAAGGCCCCACTTGCTTGTGGGTGGCAGGGGAAGTTACTGAAAGCCAGCCGAGAGTCAAGCAAGTGGCATTGTTCCCTCTCAGACCCCTCCTCCATACACAGAGTTACAACTCAGTGACCTGAGTTGACCTACCCTAGCAAATAACTAAGGCTCCACCCCATGCTATGTAATGGGTGCACTGAGACAAAAAAAATACAGCCCGAATGAAAGAACAGATCAAAGTTCCAGAAAAAATACAACTAAGCAATGAAGAGATAGACAACCTATTGGATGCACAGTCCAAACCACAGGTAATCAGGATGCTCACACAAATGGTTGAGTATGGATCACAAATTAGAGGAAAAAGTGAAGGCTATGAAAAGTGAAATAAAGGAAAATATACAGGGAACCAACAGTGACGAGAAGGAAACTGGGACTCAAATCAATGGTTTGGAGCAGAAGGAAGAAATAAACATTCCGCCCAAATAGAGTGAAGAAACAAGAATTCAAAAAAACAAGGAGAGTCTTACGAACTTCAAGGACAACTTTAAATGTCCCAACATCTGAATCATAAGGGTGCCAGAAGGAGAAAAGGAAGAGCAAGAAATTGAAAACTTATTTGAAAACATGATGAAGGAGAAATTCCCCAATCCAGTAAAGGAAATAGACTTCCAGGAAGTCCAGGAAGCTCAGGGGGTCCCAATGAAGTTGGACCCAGGAAGCACACAACAAGGCACACCATAATTATATTAGCCAGGATTAAAGATAAGGAGAGAATCTTAAAAGCAACCAGAGAAAAGGAGACAGTTACCTACCAAGAAATTCCCATAATCCTATCAGATGATTTCTCAAGGAAAAAAAAACCTTGCAGCCAAAAAGGGGCTGGAAAGAAGTATTTGGAGTCATGAAAGGCAAGAACCTCTATCCAAGATAATTCTATCCAGCAAAGCTATTATATAGAATGGGAGGGCAGATAAAGTGCTACCCAGATAAGGTCAAGTTAAAGCAGCTCATCATCACCAAGCCCTTATTTGGAATGTGAAAGGGAGTTACTAAGAAAAAGAAGATAAAAAAATAGGAACAGTAAAATGACAACAAACTCACAACTATCAACAACTGAACCTAAAAAAAAATTTAGGGACTTCCGCTAAGATGGAGACGTAGGTGGAGGAACCACCTTGCCTCTGTGCACAACCAAATCTAAGCAAAACTATTTTTAACAGCAGTCACAACCAAGCCACACGGAAAATCGACAATACGGAGTCCAAAGGACAACTAGATACTCAGCTGGACTGGTACGAGGAGTGAAGCCAGCAGCGGAACAGGTTAGCTAGAAAAAATTCCCGGGTGGTGCGCGGTGAGCACGCAAGCAGCCAAAAGTGCTGATCGTGAGCGAGCTAGCTACAGGAGCGCACAGGGAAGAGGCGGGGCGGGTCGGTTGCGCATTTACCTGCAGAGAAACCAGTGAGAAGGGAAGCCTGCACGGGGCAGCAGCCTCGCACAATTCCGAGCGGATAAACAAGCCCGAGGCGTGTGGTGTGACTGGACGGGCTGGGCTAGCGGAGAGGACCGCCATTGCTCCCTCTCTGACCACGCCCCCACACACAGCGTCACAAACCAGCGACGGGGTCTCCCCGTCCTGGTAAACAACTAAGGCTTCGCTCTGCTTACTTAACAGCACGAATAGACCAAAAATGGCTCTAGGACAACTCAGAGCCCCAGAACCGATAGATCTAAGCCATGAAGAAATAGCCAGTCTTTCAGATGCACAGTTCAAAACACTGGTTATCAGGATCCTTACAGAACTGGTTGATTTTAGTCACAAATTAGAGAAACATATGGAAGCTAAACTAATTGAAATGAATGGTAATACAAAGGAAACCAATAATAATGGAAAGAAAATTGGGACTCAAACCAAGGGAGTGGACCAGAAGGAAGAAAAAAATGATCAAACAGAAAAGAATGAAGAAATAAGAATTCAGAAAAATGAGGAGAAGCTTAGGAACCTCCAGGACATCTTTAAACGTTCCAACATCCGAATTATAGGGGTACCAGAAGGGGGAAAGGCACAGCCACCAGTGGAAAACTTATTTGAACAAATAATAGAGGAGAATTTCCCCAAGCTGGCAAAGGAAATAGACTTCCAAGAAATCCAGGAAGCTCAGAGAGTCCCAAAGAAGTTGGACCCAAGAAGGAACACACCAAGGCACATCATCATTACATTAGCCAAGATTAAAATGAAGGAGAGAATCCTAGAAGCAGCAAGAGCTAAGGGGACAGTCACCTACAAAGGAGTTCCCATCAGACTGTCAGCAGATTTCTCAAAAGAGACCTTACAGGCAAGAAGGGGCTGGAAAGAGGTATTCCAAGTCATGAAAACCAAAGACTACAACCAAGATTGCTCTACCCAGCAAAGTTTTCATTTAGAATGGAAGGACAGATAAAGTGCTTCTCAGATAAGACCAAATTCAAGGAGTTCATCATCACCAAGCCCTTATTATATGAAATGTTAAAGGGACTTACCTAAGAAAAAGAAGATAAAAAAGATGAACAGTGAAAGGACAGCAAACTCACAGTTATTAAGAACCACACCTAAAACAAAAGCAAACTAAGAGGACAGCTAGATCAGGAGCAGAATCATAGAAATGAAGATCTCATGGAGTGTTAGCAACAGGGGAGTGGGAGGAGGGGAAGAGGGGAGAAGGTACAGAAAATAAGTAGCATAGACAGTAGATAGAAAATAGATAGGGGGAGGGTAATAATAGCAGGGGAAATACAGAATCTAAAGAATTTGAGACACGTGTTCATGAACTAAAGGGGGAAATGGTGGGGGAGGGGTATGCAGGGTGGAGGGGAATGGAGGGGGGAATAGAGCAAATGTAAAGGCATAATCAATAAAAAAGTTAAAAATAATTTAAATGAACTAAGCAAACAACTAGAACAGAAACAGATTCACAGAAATAGTGATCACATGGAGGATTACTGGCAGGGAGGGGGAGGGAGCAGAATGGGGGAATAGATACAGGGAATAAGAAGCATAAATGGTAGGTACAAAACAGACAGGGGGAGGTTAAGAATAGTATAGGAAATGGAGAAGCCACAGAACTTATATGTATGACCCATGGACATGACCTAAGGTGGGAGAATAATGGTAGGATGGGGTTACAGGGCAGAGGGAAATAAAAGGGAGGAAAAATATGGGACAACTATAATAGCATAATCACTAAAGTATATTTAAAAAATAAAAAGAAAAAGGTAAAGGGTTTAAGAATCACAGTTACAAATTGGTAGTTACAGAATAGTCATGGGGATGTAAAGTACAGTATGTGGAATAGAGCAGCCGAGAAACATACATGCAGGATACATGAAAATAGACAACGGTGTGGGGATTGCCTGATGGAGTGGTGGTGGCTGGGTAATGAGGAACAAATGGGGAAAATTTGGTGCAACTGTAACAGCATACACAATAAAATATAAATAAATGTAGAGCCATTCCATGTTTAAAAATAAATAAACCAACATCCCACTAAAGGAAGAACAAATTCATCAATGATACATCTGACAATAGATTAATATCCAGAATTTATAAAGAAGCAATACGACTCAACACCAAAAAACTCCAAATAATCCAATTGAAAAATGGGCATAGGGCCTGAAGAGACATTTCTCCAAAGAGGACACAGAGATGGCCAATAGGAGCTACTTTGCATATCTGAAGAACTTGGCCAGTGTTTTAGTAATGTTTAAAGCTGTGCCTGCTCAGAACCAGAGAGATGGAGCTTGAAGGAACCACACAGGGCTGGACTAACAATGGCAGCTAAGAAAGGCAGAAGAAATCTGACTACTGGCAGGTGTAACCCAGGGTGGGAGGAGTTGGAAATGAGATTACAGAGGAAAATTTGTGCCAGGATTTAAACCCATGCAGTTTAACCATGGGTTTTGGAGTGGAGAGGGGGCTCACTCTTGACCATGCAGCTGGGGAAGGAGAAGCCTTTTGACCAGGTAGCAGCAGTGCAGGGCCTTGGCCACACAATTTGAAAGAATGCAGATGGGCTCCCACTGGCCCACCATGAGGAAGTGCCACGTGGTTTTATATTAAGAAGGGGGCCTAGCCAAGCTATGGACTTCTATATTCTTTTCCTGAGATATAGTACCCCTGACTGACCTGGTTTGGAGAGGGGAGGCAAGATTGTGTGGGTATTTGTTGGTTTTTTAAAGGCACTTTGGGATTTAATGGTGACATTCTGCCACTATTCTGAACCTGTATAACTTTTGAATAAATAGTTCCTTTCCTTTTTACCAAACTCTGGCATTGAGAGGCACAGTTTTTATTGGTGGTGGGCAAAAAGAAACCATAATAACAGAATCTAGTTTGGAGGGGTGGGGGTTTCTGTAACACTACCATTCTAACCAAAACTACTATCATCCTCTAGTGTGACAAATGAAATAGGCTACTAATTGGTCTTCTTACTGCCCATCTTGCCTCTATTCAATCTATTCTCCAATGTTATAATAATTATAAGACAATAATTATCAACTCATGTCATTCCTCTTCTCAAAAATCTCCAATTGACTTCTATCCCACTTAAAAGTCTCATGCTTTCCCCTATAATAAATACACCTTTACATGTTACAGCCCTTGCCTGACTTTCTGAATTCATCTTGTTATTCTACTTTTCACTTACCTTTTGAATAATCATCTGCATCATCCTGGCCTTCTTGCTGTTCCTCAGACATACAGGGCTTCTGTCACCCAATCCAAGGCCTCGGCATTTGGTGTTCTATCAGGACTGCTCTTGACCTAGATATTCTTATGGCCTGACCTCTTTTTTCATGTCACCACTCATATATCACCTGCTCAAAAAGCCAATTTCTATTCCCCTGTCTTCTCACTTTTTGTTATGATACTCAATATCTTTATTGCATAATGGTGATAATATAATGTTCTGTTTTTATGAGCCTTTTTTTAATTGTGGGTTGTTGACATAGTTGTGTTGACATATATTAACTGACATAAAATATTATATTATTATATTCTCACTTTTCTTAATAATACTGTCACTACCTAACAATATTTATTCATTTACTAGTTTATGTAATGTCCTTATTCCTATTAAAATGGAATCGTAAGCAACAACACGACTCCTGTGGCCTATCACTCCTGTTCACAACAGTTCCACTAGTGTCTATGGTACAGAGCACTCAAGTATTTGGTAAATGAATAATAACTATATTTTTAGAAAATTAAATATATAAATCAAATAATCAAAATAGAAGTTGTAAAGAAATTAGATCATATATAGATATTGCTATGAACTGAATTGTGTCCTCCCCCAAAATTCACACATTGAAATCTTAATCCCCAATGTAACTGTAGTTGAAGATGGTGCTTTTACATTGTAATTTAGGTTAAATAAAGTCATAAGAATAAACTACTAAGCAGATATAACTGGTGGTCTTATAAGAGGAAGACAGAATTACACTGATTAAATTTTTAATATTAAACCAAGCTTGCATTTCTGGGATAAACCCTACTAGATCATTATTTTTATGACTTAGACTTGATAAAATATCATTTTGGCCTAGAGTTCATTATAAATTTAACCAAATCTGAATCTAAGGACATTTGGGCTCATAATTTCATGTCATATTTTTCTATTAAGCAGGACTCTTCATTTCTAACTAGATGTGATTACATTATTGGATGAAGGAAAGGAGCCAGGAAGGGTTATGAGGGAAAGGACAAGAAGACACTACCTTGGTGAGTGAGGCTTAGCAGGCATGGGAAAGTCATTACTTAAGGTAATAGCCATTACCTGAATCCAATTTGGTAATATTTTGTTAAATTTTTATATCTATGTTCATAAAGGATATGGGCTTGTGATTTGGGGGTTTTTGTAAATCTTTATATAAGAGTTATGTGGTCTCATAAAATGAGTTGGAGGTTGCTCTTTCCTTTTCTACAGAAATGTGTGTAATACTGCTTTAATTTCTTAAATATTTAATAGAATTCACCAGTAAAACTGTCAGGGCCTGACATTTTCTTTGTGGAAATATTTCCACAAAGGAATATGTGGCAATAAAATTAACTTAATTACTTTAACAAATATAAAGATTTTCTATATGTGTTTTTTGATCATGTGTTAGTTCTAGTAAGTTTTATTTTTCAAGGAATTTTTCAATTTCACCTAATCTGTCAAATTCACTAGTAGAAAGTTATCCATGGTATTCTCTTATTATTCTTTTAATGGCTATAGGATTTGAACTGAAAACCTCTCTATCATTCCTGACAGTAATTTATGTTTTCTTTTCCTCTTGATTAGTCATGTTTACTGTTTAACAACTTTGCTGATCTTTTAAAGAAATTAACTTTGGCTTTATTAATTTTCTCTATTTCTTTTTTTATTTTGTTGATTTCAGCTTTTATATTTGTTATTTTTTCTTCTACTAAGAATAGTTCTTCTCTTTGAAATGGGAGAGAAATACGAGAGACAAGAAAAAAGAGGTGTAACAAAGTTTCTTTGTTAGTCTAGGCTTAAAAGATTTTAATTTGTTTTTTAGGACTCAGGCTTTCCCCCCACAAGCAATGGAAAAGTCCACAAAAACAACAAAAGGTTGTGCCTTTAGCCTAACCTGTTTGGCTATTACCTTAAGTAATGACTTTCCCATGCCTGCTAAGCCTCACTCACCAAGGTAGTGTCTTCTTGTCCTTTCCCTCATAACCCTTCCTGGCTCCTTTCCTTCATCCAATAATGTAATCACATCTAGTTAGAAATGAAGAGTCCTGCTTAATAGAAAAATATGACATGAAATTATGAGCCCAAATGTCCTTAGATTCAGATTTGGTTAAATTTATAATGAACTCTAGGCCAAAATGATATTTTATCAAGTCTAAGAGCAAAGAAATGCAAGAAGTTGAAGAATACATTAAGATAACCTCAGAACCACAAGAATAGAAACCAGATCATTAAAAACAGGCCTAATATGATTTAAACTGACACAAGCTCTGTTGAGTGGCAGTCTTGTGTAATGGTTCAGTAACAAAATCTGGATTCAGACTGCCTGGGTTCACATACTACATTTGTTGCTGTGTTTCATGCCTAAGTTTTATCATCAGAAATGAGGATAAAAATAGTATATTCCTCATAGAGTTGGGAGAATTAATGATATACAATGCTTAGAATAGTTATATATGTGCATATACATACAATGTATGTGTACTAGGTATTAACTTTTATTAATACAATTTTGCTAAGAGGAGAATAAGAGGCTTCCTATGACATTCTCATAACCTTTTTAGAATACTCATTCAATGTTATAAGGAAAAGTCCTTAGATTTTTAACTTTCAATTACAAAGTAGGTAGAATTAAGTGTCTAAGAAACAGAATGCATGTAAATATTTAACTGAGCATTAAATGAAGTGAGCATTAAATGAGTGGATCCATCTCATATTATAAAAGTTCAATAGGCTCTGATTTTTAGAGCGATTCAGAACCCCCTTCTCTAGGAATTCTCCTTACAGGTGGATTTTTAAAAAAGATTTATTTATTTATTTATCTTTAGAGGGGAAGGGAAGGAGAGAGGGAGAGAAATATCAGTGTATGGTTGCCTCTCATGTGTCCCCTGCTGGGAACTGGCCTGCAACCCTGGCATGTGCCCTGACTGGGAAAGGAACCGCTATCCTTTGGTTTGCAGGCCCGAGCTCAATCCACTGAGCTACACCAGCCAGGAAGTTTTATAGGTGGATTAGAAATGAGTATTAGCCCTGGCTAGGTGGCTCAGTGGACTGAGCATTGGCCTGTGAATCGAAAGATCTCTGGTTTGATTCCCAGTCTGGGCACATACCTGGCTTACCAGCCAGGTCCCCAGCTGGGGGCATGCAGGAGGTAGCACAGTTGATGTTTCTACCTCTCTTTCTCTCTCCCTCCCCACTCTCTAAAAATAAATAAAATCTTTTTTTAAAAAATGAGTGTTAAGCATCTACATTATTTTTAAGCTCAAATACAATGTGAAATCTGGTTTCTAGCAATTCAGAATTCAAATACATCCTCTTGGATATTAAAGAAACAAGAAAAGTACAAAACCTGAAGAAAATCTGAAGGACCTAGCATGATGGGAGTGATGAATGGAGGGGCCTATTTCCAACCTAACAAAGCTTGCACCATTCCTTTGGAACAGAGAGACAGAATTTATCTAGTTTCTCAAAGCACAGTCTGGAAATTGACAGTAGAGAATGCCAGTATAATTTGGAATAAATAAACTTACCTAGTGAAATAAAGTTGCTATAATTCTCCCACATTACATTCCTATATAAGTCCCTCTGAGCTGCATCCAGAAATTCCCATTCTTCCTGTGAGAAGTCTATGGCTACATCCCCGAATGTCACTGAATCCTAAAAAAAAAAACAAAAAAAACCCTCATGCATTATTTGTGAAAATAAGTAAAGTCTTTTTTTTAATGGAAAGATATGATATCAAGGATTTCACTGCCGAGAACTAGCCACATAGCAGCAAATACGGTAGGGCTGAAAACTTATGACATGCATAGGAGAAAGAAAATTAGTATCCCTCAAGCAGAGTACTACATCTCTTGAATAACCCTGTGGCTACAGATAAGATTAAATTTTAACCACATATATCTGGAAATGAATAAAATAACCCTCAAAAGTCCCAATAAAACAAAACAGTACACACAGACTTCTGTAAGCTGTATCTCCACCACAAATTCTAAAGAAATATGAGGTCTTCTACCTTTTTTTTTCCTCTGAATAATCATGAAAAATATTGATAACAATTTCTCCTGAATATAGTAGAAGATCTCTAAGAACACAGACTCAAGTTCATCATAAGTCAAACTGTATATAATCACTTTCCCAGTTATGACCAATTTTTTAGTAAACTTAAAAAATTTTGGTACATGGTTGTCCACATGTTAAATATATGAAATTCAATCTTTTTTCTGTTTAGATGTTTTCATTGAACACAATTTCAAAAGTCTTTCTCAAATATCAAAGTCTATATCATCTAATATTTATTTATGCAACTGAATAACTTTTTATTCCTTATCATCCATTGCCTCTAACTGACCACCTTTCCTCATTCCTGAGTTACAGGATAGTGAATTGTGAAGATATCACTTTGGACCAATGGTTTTTAATGAGGAGTGATTTTACTACCCAGAAGATACCTGGCCACGTCTGGATAAAATTTTGATGCATAAGCTACGGGAAGAGGTGTAAGTGTTACAGGCATCTAATTGGTAGAGGACAGGGATAACTTTAGATATCCTACAATGCAGAGGACACTTCCCTAAAATAAAAGATTCTCTGGCTCAGAATATGAATAGTTCCAAGGTTAAGAAACCCTGCTCTAGACTAGAACATCCCATAAAACTACACAATGATCCGTGAGCTTTCTATTTGCAGTCCTGTTCTGATCAATCCTATTCATCCACTGAAAGAAAAGAGGGGAAACCTTTGCCCTAGATAGCATGAGATGGCTGAATACCTGACACCAGGGAGACGGGATTGCCAGTAGTTTCTTAGTCACATACTCACAGCCCAGGGGAGGAGGACACCAAATGTCATGTAGGACCACACAGGGGTTACATTCAGGAATAAAGTGACTAAACAAAGTCTATAAGAGGTAGTAAAAAGAGGGTGAGGTGTTCCTTGGTTCCTGCAGAAAGATGTGATGAGCTTGTATGAATAATTCTGAAGACTGGCAGGGGAGTACAACTCACACATTAAGGACTAGGAGGGGTGCTGATGGGCCTGATATGGGAACTAGCCAGGCAGGGAGTTTTTTCTGCTGGATGGCAGATATAGCTTGTGAGATCAGAACTCGTGGTTAGGACTTCAGAGATTTGATAAAGATATCAAGGCAGTACAATCATAAAAGCCTCACGTACCATAAGGTCTCAACAAATGCAGAGACTGAGACTAGCCAATGTAAATCTCATTTTATGTCCTGGGGAGACAGAAATCTGTGGAGAAGTTTGGAGTTTTCCCTATAAATGTCAAATAGGATAAAATTCTCCATCAAAACATAGATCTTTAAGGAGAGTCTAAAACTATGATCTCCTGCTTAATATCAATAATCCATTTTAACACTACATTATTGACTAGGTACCTATTTTCCCATCACTTTAAATCAAATAATTAGATTGCATTACACATCAATTTCAACCCCTCACCTACTTTCCTATATCTTCTCAGTACAGAATTATGTATAGTATACAAGGGTCAGTGCAGGGGTACTTTGGCTTTAGTATTTTCACTATCTCTTTTTATGGAACTCATTTTTCTCACTTGATTTTTTTGTTTCTCCATAGTTCTCTTGACAATTCTTCCATATTTTTAGGAACTCATTTTATACTAGGCAAAAACAAGAGCTACATGCGAAATACATTATTAAAATGCATTTCTAACGAACATTATGGCAGGAATGATTTATATTACGATGCTCTGATGTCTTCTTTATTAATCAGCAGCACCAGATATACACATCCCCTTTAATAATATTTGCATGCATTTAAAAACATCTGCAGATGGTTCTGATAGTCCATCATTTGTATTTGGAATAAAACGAGACTTGCTGCACATTGCTTTTTGTTTAAAAATGTTGCATTGAACTATACAATTTCACATATATAAAGTTTTAAAAATAGCCAAAATTAATTTAGGATATTTTAGATCAAGATAGAAGTTACATTTGGATTGGGTAGGTATGGAGTAGTGAAAAGGGGGACATCTGAAGTGCTAGAAATATTCTCTTTCTTGACCTGAAGGCTGGAGGCATAAATGTACTCAATTTTTAAAAGTTCATTTAGTTATACACTTACAACTTGTGCATTTTTCTCTATATACACTATCAATAAAAAGTTCAAAAACTCTTTTAAAATGTCAAATTGTGTGTTGGGGATATAAATTTTTCCTACATAAAACTAGACTAAAATCCTTGTACTCAGAGAAATATACTTTCTCTGAAGTTTAAGTATTACAATCAAAAGCTTGTTCAACTGGGAAGTATTAACAGGGTGAATATTGTGCACAAAATGCCTGAATTTTTATCAAGCTTTTGTACCCTCATAGTTCTTGACAGATTCTGTAGATAGGAGATGGCCTACATAAATGGGGGGAAAAGGAGTGCATGGAGAGGATACTGGACTATTTGTCCCCAACACTCACAGGAAGGAGAGAAACTAGTGCAGGTTCTTGGATGGAGTTCTGTTAAAAAGGAAACTTCAGGATAAGAAATTAGTATGTATGTATGACTTGGTAATTGACAATATCTAAATATCTAAAAAGAGAGAAAGAAACATCAACTTACATGGGCCATGGTTTCAAACTCGTCAGTCCTCAAGATTCCTGTTAGAGAACTGCAAAGTCCAGAGAAGACAAATCTAGAAAAAGAGAAAGAAGACATGAAACCATATGTGTCTCAGAGCCCCCAAAATTACTTGTTAATATAAGCTTTTTTCCCTGCCACTCCTGCTTCCAAACTATTCCATACCACTATACCCATACTGATCTTATACCCACATAAACTGGAGAAAAATTTAGAGAGCATGAAGAAATCCAAACCCTGAAGAAACCCGATGAACAATGCTGAACTTGGTGTAGAACAACAGAAATTTCTGAATGATTTCTGACTAGTTCCCCATCTGGCAATGTGGTCCTGACATGAGAGCACTCAGATGTGTCCTGAGCAGTTCCTTCTCCCTCTAGCATAGCTTCTCGGGGCCACAAAAGGACCATATCAATCAAAGAGAACCTCCTTTGAGCCCCAGGATTCTGCCTTAACTTACTAAACAAAGACTAAAAACCACACAGAATGAGCCTGGAAGTTCCCGCCATTGTAAAGCTGCCTTTGTCCAGCCAGGGCAACTCACTACTGTTTCCCAGTCAGGACTTCTCATACCCTGACATCCTTTGCCATTATGACAACTGCAGTTAGTCAAAAACTAACAGACATTGAGAACTTTGATTTGATGAAGGTATTATACACACTACTCATTGATCCTCAGCACTGTTCTGCAATGTAGTTCTTCTCTCCATTCAAAAGGATACTGATGCTCAGGGCTCAAATAATTTGTTCAAATTCAGTTCTTAGATGCCAGAGTTTTGTTTTGTTTTGACTCCACATTTCTTTAACTAAAAAGCCATCTTTCAACTTTAATTTTTGCCTCTGAAGACTAGGATTTCCAATTTACTGAGAGAAACCTAAGCAAGAGAAATTAACTATAAAATAGAAATAACCTTTCAAAAGATACTAAACTTCACTACCAAGTAAGATGATGTGTGTTAAAGCAACAAAAAAAAGTCTCTTACAGTGGCTGAATTCATAAAGATATCTGCAGAAGTATGCTGACAGATATGGTTTATGATGAATGAAAGTGGAAACAAATATAATTGGAGAAATTGTTAAACTGAAAATCATGCAAATATTAAAAAGTGATGATGTTGGCACAGGTTTGATGCAATGGGTAAAGGTGCTGTGTTCAAAAACAACACATGTGGCATTAAACTATTCTGACAGAAAAAAAATCACACATATGCCTAGAAGTACCAGTTAAAATATTTACAGTCACAGCCAGTGATACTCATCACCATATTAAATATAGAGTGAGCTAACCTACACAAATACTCAAAAAAAAAAAAAAAGACTTTCCCAGTTCAAGGTTTTCTTCCCATCTTCTGTTAAATTAAGAAAAGAGCTTAGCATTCTCTAAAAACAGCTATTTTTCCTGAGTGACTTTTAAATTTCAGCTTCCAATTTATGAACCAACTATATGATTTAATTTGCTCATGTATGTTGGAATACTATCTAGAAAGAATGACAAAAGACCTAGACTGATGTTTTTTAAGAACTGATTGCAGTATTATGGCTGCCTCCTTTCACATCTTCTGACCCAATCCTTTGGGCTAAGATACCTATGAAGCCCTACAACAGATGCTGAATCTTCTTGTCCTACTAGTCTAATTTGCCATAGAATATCACTAAAGTTAAAAATTTTACAGTATAAATCTTACTGTATAAAATCCATTTCCCTCCACAGAAACTCTGTAGCCTCAGCATAACTGGACATAGCTCGACAGTGCTTGCTGACATCAGGTTAGTATCTCTTCCATCATGATGGATTATTAAGAAAAGAAGAATTTTTAAGTATACGTAAGGATGAGACTTGGTATACTGTTGTAATTACTAATATAGGCTTTGCTGTCAGACTTCCAGGATATAAATATCAGCTCTGATAGGTATTAACTGTGTGATCTTTGATGTGTTACTTAATTTTTCAGCCTTAGTTTCTTCCTATGGAAAATGGTAATAATTATAGTTCTG